AAGCTCCCCTGTAAGCCAGGATGGGAACTGGATCCCTACAAGGTTCAATTTTTTTTTGGCTATTTCTGAATATTTTTTCGTGAAAAAAAAAAAATTTTTTCTGCAGATATCCACTCCTTCCAGAGAGCTCTGGGGCTGGGCGTCCCTCACACCCCCTGTACTGGTGGCAGGGTGGGGTTTTCATCCCAAGGCCTCCCCGTGCTGCTCAGCACATGGGGGTGTGCGTGGGGTGGGGGGGCCTTCACCACCCCCTCCTCTTTGGGCTCTCTCCATCCTTCCCTTGCACACAGCTTGTCCCCTGGGCAAAAAGGAAGCGAGAGACTCTGCAGGGAGAGGGAGGCTGGCCCCCTCCAAACGGTGTTCCCCAGCGCTTGGCTGCCCTGAAGGCGCCCCAAAGCCTCAGCTCTGTGTTGCAGCAGGACTTAGCGGCGTCTGGTTAAGCTGAGCCAAAAATCAGGAGCAAGACTTGTCCCCGTGAGGAGCCTGCCGGACACCGGATCCTGGCGATGTCAGCTCACTGTGGCAGAGAGTTGGTGGCAAGTGGGGTCTGGCATCGTTGCCCCCTGCCCCCCCCAGTTACCTGAACCAGGGTGCAGGCACCCACTCAAGGTCTCATTAAAAATAACATATTTATGTCCATATAAACCATGCACATCCCTATAAAACATATAGATCGCTATAAAACACATAAGCTCTCAGGAGCTTATAAATAGCCAGGAAAAAAAAAAAAATTCCTATTTCCCTCAAAAGCAGGGAGCAGGGCAGGGGTCTGCCGAAGGTCACCGGGGATGTCGGGGCAGCGTGGGAGCCCGGGGCTGCGGGAGGGGGGAGGTGGAAGGCAGGGGTGAGAGCCACGGGAAAGCACCAACCGTATCCCGGAAAAAATAGTATTTGCGACGTGTGACGACTCTGTAAAAAATGCCTAAACGGGATTAGAGGCTTGCATGGAAATCCGTCTCTGAAGTAAGCCACTCACAGGCACATAAAAGCTTTCAGCCCTTTCTGAGAGCAGTCCTGGAGCCTCTGCGCTTGGCCTGCCCGAGCCCCCGGAGGTGGACGGGCGCCCCCGGGGGAGGTCGAGCTCGCCGGCAAGCGGGGCCGGCT